AACACTGTAATAAAACTGTAATAACGCTGTAATAATGCTGTAATAACGCTGTAATAACGCTGTAATAACGCTATGATAACAAATAACAATGTAATAACAATGTAATAACACTGTCATAACGCTGTAAAAATACTGTAATAATGCTGTAATAACACTGTAATAAAACTGTAATAACGCTATGATAACTAATAACACTGTAATAATTCTGTAATTACACTGTAATAAAACTCTAATAACGCTGTAATAACGCTATGATAACTAATAACAATGTAATAACACTGTAATAACGCTATGATAACTAATAACAATGTAATAAAACTATAATAACACTGTAATAACGCTAAGATAACTATAACAATGTAATAACACTGTAATAACGCTGTAATAACGCTATGATAACTAATAACACTGTAATATTGCTGTAATAACGCTATGATAACTAATAACAATGTAATAAAACTCTAATAACGCTGTAATAACGCTATGATAACTAATGACAATGTAATAAAACTATAATAACGCTGTAATAACGCTATGATAACTAATAACAATGTAATAACACTGTAATAACGCTATGATAACTAATAACAATGTAATAAAACTATAATAACACTGTAATAACGCTAAGATAACTAATAACACTGTAATAACACTGTAATAACGCTGTAATAACGCTATGATAACTAATAACAATGTAATAACACTGTAATAACGCTATGATAACTAATAACAATGTAATAAAACTATAATAACACTGTAATAACGCTATGATAACTAATAACAATGTAATAACACTGTAATAACGCTGTAATAACGCTATGATAACTAATAACACTGTAATAATGCTGTAATAACGCTATGATAACTAATAACAATGTAATAAAACTATAATAACACTGTAATAATGCTATGATAACTAATAACAATGTAATAACACTGTAATAACGCTGTAATAACGCTATGATAACTAATAACATTGTAATAATGCTGTAATAACGCTGTAATAAAGAAGGAAGTAAGGAAGAAAAGGATGGAATGAATAAGTAAGAGAGGAAAGGAAAAAGTAGGGAAGGAAAGGAAGAAATTAGGAAACAAATTAGGTAGTGAGGAAATAAAGGAGGAAGTAAGAAAGAGAAGGAGGAAGTGAGGAAGAAAAATAGGAAGTAAGGAAGGAAAGGAGGAAGTAAGGAAGAGAAGGAGGAAGTGAGGAAGAAAAATAGGAAGTGAGGAAGGAAAGGAGGAAGTAAGAAAAGGAAGAAATGAAAACGGAAAAGAGTCAAAGAGGAAATAAGGAAAGAAAGTAAGGAAAGAAGGAAAAAAGGAAGAGAAGAAGGAAGTGAGGAAGTACCGAAGGGAAGGAAGAAGTGAATAAGTAAAATAGAAAGTGAGGAAGGAAAGGAGGAAGCAAAAAAAGGAAGTAAAGGAAAGAAGGAAGTAAGGAAGAGAAGAAGGAAGTGAGGAAGAAAAATAGGAAGTGAGGAAGGAAAGGAGGAAGTAAGAAAAGGAAGTACACTTACTCACTTACTGTAATAACTAATAAAACTAATAACCATTTAATAACACTGTAATAACTAGAAGACTTTAATAACGCTGTAATACCAAAAAATATTTTAAAAACGCTGTAAGAACGCTGTAACAAAACTATAATAATTCTGTAATAACACTGTAATAAAACTGTAATAACGCTGTAACAATGCTGTAATAACGCTATGATAACTAATAACAATGTAATAACACTGTAATAACGCTATGATAACTAATAACACTGTACACACCATCTATACTCAGCGTTACTGAGAACAAGTATTAATACACACCATCTGTACTCAGCATTACTGAGGAAAAGTATTAATACACACCATCTGTACTCAGCGTTAGTGAGAACAAGTATTAATACAC